CAAGAAGGCAACTACAGAAAACAAGCAGTGCCACTGTGGGCTGGGCTCCATAAGAAGAAAAACAGTGTCTGCAAAATTCCTATGGTGATAGGTACTAATACAAAACCCTAAAACAGAGGCAAAACAAGAACAAAGCTGACTGGAAAATAAATGTATGCAGTGTTGTTGTATCCATGTTGGTCCCAGGATATTAGAGAGACAAGGTGGGTGAGGCAATATCTTTTATTGGAGCAACTTCTGTTGGTGAGAGAGAGAGAAGATTTTTAGAGCTACACAGAACTCTTCAGGTTTGGACAATGCACTATGTACCCCAATAACAACTAAGTGGGTGAAACAAGACAATCACTATACTCTCAAATGAACTCTCACAGAAAAATGATAAAAGACAAAAAACATAGTATCATAGAATCATAGGACTGGAAGGGACCTCAAGAGGTCATCTAGTCCAGTACCCTGCACTCATAGCAGGACTAAGTATTATCTAGACCATCCCAGACAGGTGTTTGCCTATCACTTGTGCGTGAACACTTTTCACAAAGCGATTACTTTATATCTGACCTTTAAGTCCTTAGCCTCATTGGAAACATGCCTAACACCTTCAAAGAACGAACCTAAGAGCTTAAATTCAGAATTTTGCTAGATTCTAAAAATCATGGACTGAACAAAAGTTCATTTGAGAGGATTTATGGCTTATCACAACAATCTATAAAGTACTTACCCACCCAATAACTGGGTTGGTGTTAACAGGCACTTCAACTTCAATGGTCCCTTGAGATGTATGTTAACTTCTTACGCTAAACAATCTGTCACAGCTTGTAATTAGATGAACCTGTGACTCTGAGTACTCTACTCAGACCTGAAGAGGAGCTCTGTGCAGCTTGAAAGCTTGTCTCTCTCACCAACAGAATAAAAGCTGTTACCTCACGTACCCTATCTCTCAGGTGAATAAATGTTATTTTCAAGCTTTTAGAGCAGTGTTTCTCAACCTGCGGCCCGCTTGCAGCCCAATCAGCACAGAGCTATGGTCCACGCGACATCCTCAGAGCCACAGAGGTACTACTGGATGCGGCCCACAATGGTAAATAGGTTGAGAACCACTGTTTTAGAGTATTACAGATATACAGGTTCCAAACCTGCTCCCACTAAGGGTATGTCTACACTACGGAATAAGGTCGAATTTATAAAGGTTGGTTTTTTTAGAAATCGGTTTTATATATTCGAGTGTGTGTGTCCCCACAGAAAATGCTCTAAGTGCATTAAGAAAAGGAGTACTTGTGGCACCTTAGAGACTAACCAATTTATTTGAGCATTAAGTGCATTAACTCGGCGGAGTGCTTCCACAGTACCGAGGCTAGAGTCGACTTCCGGAGCGTTGCACTGTGGGTAGCTATCCCACAGTTCCCGCAGTCTCTGCTGCCCATTGGAATTCTGGGTTGAGATCCCAATGCCTGATGGGGCTAAAACATTGTCGCGGGTGGTTCTGGGTACGTATCGTCAGGCCCCCGTTCCCTCCCTCCCTCCGTGAAAGCAAGGGCAGACAATCGTTTTGCGCCTTTTTTCCTGAGTTACCTATGCAGACGCCATACCACGGCAAGCATGGAGCCCGCTCAGGTAACCGTCACCCTATGTCTCTGCTGCCCATTGGAATTCTGGGTTGAGATCCCAATGCCTGATGGGGCTAAAACATTGTCGCGGGTGGTTCTGGGTACATTTCGTCAGGCCCCCGTTCCCTCCCTCCCTCCGTGAAAGCAAGGGCAGACAATCGTTTCGCGCCTTTTTTCCTGAGTTACCTATGCAGACGCCATACCACGGCAAGCATGGAGCCCGCTCAGGTAGCCGTCACCCTATGTCTCCTGGGTGCTGGCAGACGCGGTACGGCTTTGCTACACAGTAGCAGCAACCCCTTGCCTTGTGGCAGCAGACGGTACGGTACGACTGGTAGCCGTCATCGTCATGTCCGAGGTGCTCCTGGCCACATCGGCTGGGAGCGCCTGGACAGACATGGGCGCAGGGACTTAATTTAGAGTGACTTGACCAGGTCATTCTCTTTAGTCCTGCAGTCAGTCCTATTGAACCGTCTTATGGTGAGCAGGCAGGCGATACGGATTGCTAGCAGTCGTACTGTACCATCTTCTGCCGAGCACCCATGAGATGTGGATGGCATGCAGTCCTTCTGCACCGTCTGCTGCCAGCCAAAGATGTAAAAGATAGATGGAGTGGATCAAAACAAGAAATAGACCAGATTTGTTCTGTATTCATTTGCTTCTCCCCCTCCCCTGTCTAGGGGACTCATTCTTCTAGGTCACACCGCAGTCACTCTCAGAAAAGGTGCAGTGAGGTAAATCTAGCCATGTATCAATCAGAGGCCAGGCTAACCTTCTTGTTCCAATAAGAATGATAACTTAGGTGCACCATTTCTTATTGGAACCCTCCGTGAAGTCCTGCCTGAAATACTCCTTGATGTAAAGACACCCCTTTGTTGATTTTAGCTCCCTGAAGCCAACCCTGTAAGCCGTGTCCTTAGTCGCCCCTCCCTGCGTCAGAGCAACGGCAAACAATCGGGCATCTGAGAGTGCTGTCCAGAGCAGTCACAATGGAGCACTCTGATGGGGCTAAAACATTGTCGCGGGTGGTTCTGGGTACGTATCGTCAGGCCCCCGTTCCCTCCCTCCCTCCGTGAAAGCAAGGGCAGACAATCGTTTCGCGTTTTTTTTCCTGAGTTACCTGTGCAGACGCCATACCACGGCAAGCATGGAGCCCGCTCAGGTAACCGTCACCCTATGTCTCCTGGGTGCTGGCAGACGTGGTACGGCTTTGCTACACAGTAGCAGCAACCCATTGCCTTCTGGCAGCAGACGGTGCAGTATGACTGGTAGTCGTCCTCGTCGTGTCCGAGGTGCTCCTGGCCACGTCGGCTGGGAGCGCCTGGACAGACATGGGCGCAGGGACTAAATTTGGAATGACTTGACCAGGTCATTCTCTTTAGTCCTGCAGTCAGACCTATTGAACCGTCTTATGGTGAGCAGGCAGGCGATACGGATTGCTAGCAGTCGTACTGTACCATCTTCTGCCAGGCAGGCAAGAGATGAGGATGGCTAGCAGTCGTACTGTACCATCTTCTGCCGAGCAGCCATGAGATGTGGATGGCATGCAGTCCTTCTGCACCGTCTGCTGCCAGCCAAAGATGTAAAAGATAGATGGAGTGGATCAAAACAAGAAATAGACCAGATTTGTTTTGTACTCATTTGCCTCCTCCCCTGTCTAGGGGACTCATTCCTCTAGGTCACACTGCAGTCACTCACAGAGAAGGTGCAGCGAGGTAAATCTAGCCATGTATCAATCAGAGGCCAGGCTAACCTCCTTGTTCCAATAAGAACAATAACTTAGGTGCACCATTTCTTATTGGAACCCTCCGTGAAGTCCTGCCTGAAATACTCCTTGATGTAAAGACAACCCCTTTGTTGATTTTAGCTCCCTGAAGCCAACCCTGTAAGCCGTGTCGTCAGTCGCCCCTCCCTCCGTCAGAGCAACGACAGACAATCGTTCCGCGCCTTTTTTCTGTGCGGACGCCATACCAAGGCAAGCATGGAGGCCGCTCAGCTCACTTTGGCAATTAGGAGCACATTAAACACCACACGCATTATCCAGCAGTATATGCAGCACCAGAACCTGGCAGAGCGATACCGGGCGAGGAGGCAACGTCAGCGCGGTCACGTGAGTGATCAGGACATGGACACAGATTTCTCTGAAAGCATGGGCCCTGCCAATGCATGCATCATGGTGCTAATGGGGCAGGTTCATGCTGTGGAACGCCGATTCTGGGCTCGGGAAACAAGCACAGACTGGTGGGACCGCATAGTGTTGCGGGTCTGGGACGATTCCCAGTGGCTGCGAAACTTTCACACGCGTAAGGGCACTTTCATGGAACTTTGTGACTTGCTTTCCCCTGCCCTGAGGTGCATGAATACCAAGATGAGAGCAGCCCTCACAGTTGAGAAGCGAGTGGCGATAGCCCTGTGGAAGCTTGCAACACCAGACAGCGACCGGTCAGTTGGGAATCAATTTGGAGTGGGCAAATCTACTGTGGGGGCTGCTGTGATGCAAGTAGCCCACGCAATCAAAGATCTGCTGATATCAAGGGTAGTGACCCTGGGAAATGTGCAGGTCATAGTGGATGGCTTTGCTGCAATGGGATTCCCTAACTGTGGTGGGGCCACAGACGGAACCCATATCCCTGTCTTGGCACCGGAGCACCAAGCCGGCGAGTACATAAACCGCAAGGGGTACTTTTTGATAGTGCTGCAAGCTCTGGTGGATCACAAGGGACGTTTCACCAACATCAACGTGGGATGGCCGGGAAAGGTACATGATGCTCGAATCTTCAGGAACTCTGGTCTGTTTCAAAAGCTGCAGGAAGGGACTTTATTCCCAGACCAGAAAATAACTGTGGGGGATGTTGAAATGCCTACATGTATCCTTGGGGACCCAGCCTACCCCTTAATGCCATGGCTCATGAAGCCGTACACAGGCAGCCTGGACAGTAGTCAGGAGCTGTTCAACTACAGGCTGAGCAAGTGCAGAATGGTGGTAGAATGTGCATTTGGACGTTTAAAGGCGCGCTGGCGCAGTTTACTGACTCGGTTAGACCTCAGCGAAACCAATATTCCCACTGTTATTACTACCTGGTGTGTGCTCCACAATATCTGTGAGAGTACGGGGGAGACATTTATGGCAGGGTGGGGGGTTGAGGCAAATCGCCTGGCTGCTGGTTACGCGCAGCCAGACACCAGGGCGGTTAGAAGAGCACAGGAGGGCGCGGTACGCATCAGAAAAGCTTTGAAAACCAGTTTCATGACTGGCCAGGCTACGGTGTGAAAGTTCTGTTTGTTTCTCCTTGATGAAACCCCCCGCCCCTTGGTTCACTCTACTTCCCTGTAAGCTAACCACCCGCCCCTCCTCCCTTCAATCACCGCTTGCAGAGGCAATAAAGTCATTGTTGCTTCACATTCATGCATTCTTTATTCATTCATCACACAAATAGGGGGATGACTACCAAGGTAGCCCAGGAGGGGTGGTGGAGGAGGGAAGGAAAATGCCACACAGCACTTTAAGCACAGCACTTTAAAAGTTTACAACTTGAAAATTTATTGAATGCCAGCCTTCTTTTTTTTTGGGCAATCCTCTGTGGTGGGGTGGCTGGTTGGCCGGAGGCCACCCCACCGCATTCTTGGGCATCTGGGTGTGGAGGCTATGGAACTTGGGGAGGAGGGCGGTTGATTACAGAGGGGCTGCAGTGGCAGTCTGTGCTCCAGCTGCCTTTGCTGCAGCTCAACCATACACTGGAGCATACTGGTTTGGTCCTCCAGCAGCCTCAGCATTGAATCCTGCCTCCTCTCTTATTTGCCTCCATGCATTCGTCTGTGCTCTGTCAGTGTGGGAGGACAGCATGAGCTCGGAGAACATTTCATCGCGAGTGCGTTTTTTTTTCTTTCTAAGCTTCACCAGCCTCTGGGAAGGAGAAGATCCTGTGATCATTGAAACACATGCAGCTGGTGGAGAAAAAAAAAAAAGGGACAGTGGTATTTAAAAAGACACATTTTATAAAACAGTGGCTACAGTCTTTCAGGGTAAACCTTGCTGTTAACATTACATACATAGCACATGTGCTTTCGTTACAAGGTCGCATTTTGCCTCCCCCCACCGCATGGCTACCCCCTCAACCTTCCCCCCTCCCTGTGGCTAACAGCGGGGAACATTTCTGTTTAGCCACAGGCAAACAGCCCAGCAGGAACGGGCTCCTCTGAGTGTCCCCTGAAGAAAAGCACTCTATTTCAACCAGGTGACCATGAATTATATCTCACTCTCCTGAGGATAACACAGAGAGATAAAGAACGGATGTTGTTTGAATGCCAGCAAATGTACACTGCAATGCTTTGTTGTACAATGATTCCCGAGTACGTGTTACTGGCCTGGAGTGGTAAAGTGTCCTACCATGAAGGACGCAATAAGGCTGCCCTCCCCAGAAGCCTTTTGCAAAGGCTTTAGGAGTACATCTAGGAGAACCGCGAATGCCAGAGCAAAGTAATCCTTTCACATGCTTGCTTTTAAACCATGTATAGTATTTTAAAAGGTACACTCACCAGAGGTCCCTTCTCCGCCTGCTGGGTCCAGGAGGCAGCCTTGGGTGGGTTCGGGGGGGTACTGGCTCCAGGTCCAGGGTGAGAAACAGTTCCTGGCTGTCGGGAAAACCGGTTTCTCCGCTTGCTTGCTGTGAGCTATCTACAACCTCATCATCATCATCATCTTGGGGGGTGTTTTTCTTTTTTGGGTGTTTTTTTTTATTTAGGGGTTTTTTGGGGGGGGGGGGGTTGTTGGGGGATGAGATATAATGGTCTTTGGCCTAAATATTATGAATTATGAATTTGATTTCTTCATCCCCAAAACCTGCTTCCGTATTGCCTCCCTCTCCATTGAAGGAGTCAAACAACACGGCTGGGGTAGTGGTGGCTGAACCCCCTAAAATAGCATGCAGCTCATCATAGAAGCGGCATGTTTGGGGCTCTGACCCGGAGCAGCCGTTCGCCTCTCTGGTTTTCTGGTAGACTTGCCTCAGCTCCTTCAGTTTCACGCGGCACTGCTTCGGGTCCCTGTTATGGCCTCTATCCTTCATGCCCTGGGAGATTTTGACAAAGGTTTTGGCATTTCGAAAACTGGAAGGGAGTTCTGATAGCACGGATTCCTCTCCCCATACAGCGATCAGATCCCATACCTCCCGTTCGGTCCATGCTGGAGCTCTTTTGCGATTCTGGGACTCCATCATGGTCACCTGCAGCTTGCCATGCTGGCCAAACAGGAAATGAGATTTAAAAGTTCGCGGTTCTTTTCCTGTCTACCTGGCCAGTGCATCTGAGTTGAGAGTGCTGTCCAGAGCGGTCACAATGGAGCACTCTGGGATAGCTCCCGGAGGCCAATACCGTCGAATTGTGTCCACAGTACCCCAAATTCGAGCCGGCAAGGTCGATTTAAGCGCTAATCCACTTGTCAAGGGTGGAGTAAGGAAATCGATTTTAAGAGCCCTTTAAGTCGAAATAAAGGGCTTCATTGTGTGGACGGGTGCAGGTTTACATCGATTTAACGCTGCTAAATTCGATCTAAAGTCCTAGTGTAGACCAGGAAATTAACAGGAGTTTTGCCATGGACTTTAAGGGGAGTAAGATTAGGCCAAATGAGTACAAAGAATGGATGAGAATCTCTTTTATGCCCCTTTTTAGAACCTAGTTGACCTTCCTCAGGAATTGTTGCCATATTGTAGAACCAAGTTATGCTGTAATAAGAGCATCTGCTCCCCTTATTACCACATAAGCATGTCCTATAGACATTCTTAACAGTGTGCCTATAATTCATTGGTTCTAATAAATCCCATCACTCCTGCCAAAAGTGCATGTTATGATCTCCAAAGATCAAAGAGATCGTTACATGTACTCTGTATATTATGAGTATTGTAAACATTAGGTGGAATTCTTACATTTAAAACACATTTCCAATCTGGAGTTCTCTGCTTGCACATGAAGTTCCTCAAAAGCCAATATCATTCTCTAAAAAATAAAACATAGCAATAAATGTTCAAAAACAAATTATTTCCTATAATGAAAAAGGAATGTACATACCATTTAAAAATATGCAGTATTATAAGCCAATGGTAACGTTTCCAGATTAAAAAGTACTTTGTTAAAACAGACAGCTATTATTTTAAATCAATATTACTGGAACAATTATTTAAAAAATTAGAAATTGAAGTAATCCCATACTTAGATGGTAAGCTCTTTAGAGCAGGGACCATCTTTTTGCTAGCTATTTGTACAGTGCTTAACTTAATGGAGCCCTGGTGCACAACATGGGGTGCCTAGGTGCTATCACAGTACAAATAATAAATAAAAAAGTCAAAGGTTAAAAAGGAAACATTTAACTTAACTATTTTAATATCAAATTCTCTACCCCAGATAAAAATTCCTCTCCCTTCTCATTGACAAATATTCAAAATTCTCACTATATTCCCACTGAAGTTCAGAAAAAAACTGAAGGTCAAATGTACTTTGCAAGACTCTACTGATGGTTTTACATTTTGTTTAAAATACCAAAAGTCCAGACAAAAAATGGTGTAAAAGAACTTAATACCTCCCTCTTATCCCTACTTACTCATCTGTTCCTCCACAAAATATATTAAGGGTTTGTCTACAATACCACTTAAGTTGATGTAACTTAGTTGTTCAGGGATGTGAAAAAGCAACCCCCCGAGCGACGTAAGTTACATCGACTTAACGTGGCATCTACACCGCATTATGTCGGTGGGAGACACTCTTCTGCCAACATAGCTTCTACCTCTCGCTGAGGTGGAGTAATTATGACGACAGGGGAGTGCATAGTGCGGTAGTGTAGACCAGCCTTAAGACTAAATTTTCACGCTACTTACTATGCTGTACTGTACTTAAAACTGGTGTATATTTTCAATTCTTATGTCATGATACAATTGTATTGCACCTTATGTTTGTAAGCATGTTTTGTATTAATACATGTATATATTTTTCAAATAAAGTTCTTTATGTTAAAAAAAACCACCACCAACTGAATAGAACAAACTCTTATCATTATATTCTTATCATAAAGACTTGGGCACTCAGCACCAGCAGCTGCCCATGTGACAATGGCAGGGAATACTGTAGGAATTCTTGTTTTATTTTTATGAACAATCCATGTGACTCAGTTTTACTTTGTATTGTTACCCACTAGGTACAAAGAGGTTAACTTCTCCCCAGGGCACAGAGAAGCAAGACATAAGTGGATGTCACCCTTGAGAGACAATGGGAGACCCAATGACTGAAAATAAACATTTAACTGTCTGGGAGACAAGGAAAGCTGCATCTATCAGGTGCAACTGGAATGGTTTTTAAGACTAGCTGCTGCCCAGAGCAGAGACACAGGGTCAGAGAGAGTGAGACTAGGATAGATTCAAGGATGACATGGAACAGTGCGCAGTTGTTTTCTGCCAATATAGACTCTTAAGTTTTCCATGATGATCTAAGGACCCTCAAATGCTGTATTCCAACTGACTAAGAAATGCTGGCTTGTTTTGAAAAGGCTACACTCTGTCACTGCAAATACTGGTTATATTGCTCCCTAAAATAGTGGAAGTTTCTAAAAGGAGTCTGAACTTGTTCAGACTTGCTGTAGAGCCACAGAGAAAAATCAAGAGTGCTGGCGCCTAAAGGCCTAGCCCTGGAGTTATACAACTGTGGGTCTCACCCTTGTAAAAAGCAAAGGGCTTGGCAAAAATTGGAATACTCCAAAGAGACTGTATAAAGACTGGGGCTATGAGGATCCAGGGGTTTTGGTCCTCAGTTTTGGCAGGTCTACAACTCAGGTTTTGGGGGTGGGGGTGTGTCACAATCCCTTGTCACCACCAGTGAAGACAGACAAAGCAGTATCTGATTGTCTCACACCCACTACTTACACCAGGAAGTGTCCCAGGCAGGGCTGTCCAAGCAGCTGCGCAGACTCCTTGATGTTGCCGCAACAGACTCCACTCTTATCTGGCTTCTGCAATCTGCATCCAACCTTGTTCCTAGTTCCACTCCACTCTTGTCCTGTTCCTGATCCCTATCTTGCTCCTTCCCTCGCTCCTCAGTTCCTGCCTTGTTCCTGATCCTTGCTTCATCTCTGGTTCCTTCCCCTATACCTTGTTCTGACTAACAGCCCTATCAATCCTGTCTCTGATCCCCAGCTTGTTTTCCGGCTCTGGGGGTCAGGTCAGAGTGCAATTACGTATCCTAGCCTCTCCTATTAGGTCGGACCACCTACATCCCAGCTCCTAGCAGGGGCACTGACCCTCCTGTAGATCAATGACAAATGTGTTTTGTATTTAAGAAAATCTCAGCATTCACATCAACTCAATTCAGCTGTTTAAATTTATAGTATTTTGAAACCTCTTATAATCAATCACTTACCTCAATATTATTATTAAGTGCCATATATAGATGTCTGGTTTCTTCTCTTTCATGTTCATCTGTCAATATAGAAATATTTCGAATAAAATTTTACTTTTAAGATATGCATAACAATACAGCAATAAATGTAATATACAAGGGCATATTAGATTGTACATATGATTTTAAAAAAAGTTTTGCCCAAGCATTTCAATACACAATGCATCAAGAATTAAAACACGGATATGGTGAGCCTGCTTTTTCTCGTCATTTTACCAAAATGTCTGCAAAAATATTGTTGGCAAATGTTATGCAATGCAGAAAAAGTGTATTCTCCATCTAAGTAGCATTCCAGATCAGTTTACATGGTTTCATTCTGAATTCCATTTCTTCCAGACAGAATGGCAGGCTAGATGTAAATCCAGGATCAAAAAGTATAAGCATATTATCATGTTTTTATTATTATAACAGATTTGGACACATCAATACACAGCGACAGCAGGAGTATCAAAGATGAGTTGATAATTCCTTGAGTAGCCCCACTGAAATCCACTCTGTTTCATTGAGACTACTTAAGGAATAAGGTGGTCAAGTGATATGGTCACATAATTAAACATACTATTAGTGCCGCAAACAACTAGATGTTTCGGAATCGAACATTTATATATATTTATTTACTTCCTGGATTGCCCCCTCAACCTAACCATTGTTAGTTGGCCAATTTCCAATAACTATCATGGCAGAAATGACTCGAGAGATTTGAGAGGGTAGTTATTTTAAAGATAAATTCAGGAAAGGTGTTCCATATGTAAGAGATGGCATAGAAGAAAGTGTGAAGACACTTGTGAGAAAAGCAGTCAAATGGACCATCAAGTCTGACATCATTGGTAAAGACAAGGAACCATGAGGCTGATGTGATAAATGACGAGAACAGATAACTAAGATGAGGCAAAGTTGTGAAAGGCCTCGAAGGTGAGAACAAAACATTTGAATTTGATGCAACAGAAAACTTGGTCAGCAAAGAGATCCAAAGAGATTTGTGTGATATAGGTAGTGCAACAGGCAAAGAAGATTATCTTAGCATCTTCGTTTTGTACAGACTAAAGAGGGATGATGTCAATGTTTCAGCTATGTGAACAGAAAGAAAATATCTTATTTTAGAAATGTTATGAAGAAAAATACAGGAGGATTTGTACGTGACCTAGATGTGAGCACAAGGGAGATAAGAGAGTCTAAGTTAACGTGCCAGTGTGACCAACCACACTGCTGTGGTAGCTAAGCACCTTACAAAAATGTCATGGGTTCCCCATATAGTGAA